TTCAACAGATTTGAATCTGTTGGATTACAATTCAAACAGATAACAAAAATGGAAAGGGCCTTGTTTGGGTGTACAGTAAATCCGGATCAAATTATTTTGGGTTTAATACGGGAAGGGCCCTGTTTGGATGTACAGAAAAACCAAATCAGTTTAATTTGAATTCTGGATTTTATTTTACCAAAAATAAAATTAAATTCAAATGTTTTTTACCCAAAAACCCGCGCCCAAGCCCAGCCCGGATGGCGGCGCGCGTGGTGATTTTTGGGTCCAATGGGTCTAATCCATTTTGCCCATAACATCTCCCTCTGAAACACTTGGGTATCCCTTGGGGCACACCCCAAGTACCAAACCCATGCCTTATAAACTCTTTCAAAACTTCCCACCAAATCAATGTGAGACAAGCCATTTTACAACCTTAAGGAATTTCCACCAAAACTCCATTTCCATGGAGCACACTTTGGCTTCAATTTCCCATTCAGTCGGTAATAGTTTTGAGCAACCAAATATACCACGTGAATCACAACGCGGCATAGAACGCGTTATCACTTTGACCTGTGAAAATCGACACACGGGGCCCACCTAAAAAATAGACCGAACTTAGGATAAAATTATGGTTTTATCCAGAATTTATAACCATTTCAACAGTTTTTAGGTTATAGTCTCCTATGTGGTTATAGTCTTCTATCTCGGAACGGCGAAACGGACAACAGGACACCTTGTTGGGAGGTCGGGACAAGTTCTCAGGTTATAGTCTCCTATCTCGGAACGGATAACAGGTCGGGGCAAGTTCCCAGATTTTAGTCTCCTATCTAGTTATAGTCTTCTATCTCGGAACGGAGGAACGGACAACAGGATACCTTGTTGGGAGGTCGGGGCAAGTTCCCAGGTTATAGTCTCCTATCTCGGAACGGACAACAGAACACCTTAGTGATCTCTACAAAGGACGCTGCCCATAGACCTACGGAAAAGTGAGAGGATTTTCCTAAAAAAAAAAAAAAAAAGTGTTCTCCACAACTAAACTCAAACAAAATGAACATCATTCAAATTCTTAATCTACGAGAACCGACATCTAAAGTAATTAATTAGATTAAAATATCCTCAAATCTCTCTCTCTCTCTCTCTCTCTCAATGTTTTCACTATCTGAAAACGAAAAGGCTTCAAGTGCGACATTTGCAATCCAGATAAGAAAACAAATTAGACTGAGAACAAATCTACCCGAGGATTAACTCATCCTACTCCACGGATAATGTAGATTAAAATGCTTTTACAAGTTGCTGAAATAAATAAGACAAGAAAATCCCACCCAAAGATGTCAGAATCTCTCAGTAAATTTTTATTATGGGAGGAAGGAATTCATTTTTTCGGCGCATCTAACGCTCAATGGGTAGGGTTGAAATTGGGGGGATCTAATCCCCACCAGCTTGGGTGAATTCTCTTTGAAACCCACTTGCTGATGATATTATTATACATAAAATGACAAGAAAAGGACTTTTCAAGAATTCATAAAAAGCTTGTCCTTTTGACTCTCTTCATAGATTCCCTGCTTCAAGTTGTGGCCTCTAAGAAAACAACAATGCTATGTTCACAGAAAATATATATATTCAAAATGTGTGGATCAAGTATAAATGTATAACATATATTTAAATTTTTGACACTTTTCTAGGATATTTTTATTTCGTGACGAGGGTGTCCGGGATAAGTGTGGTTGAGATAAGGATACTAAAGTGGATATGTAACAAAACTAGACAAGATAGAATTAGGAATGAGTGTATTCGGGAATGAGTAGGAGTAGCACTGATAGAAGATAAGTTGAGAGAGAATCGATTGAGATGTTTGGTGACATTCAACGGAGACCAACAGAGGTAGTAGTGAAGAGATCCAATGATGTAACGGTAGATAAGAGTGTTAGGGGACGGGGTAGGCCGAGATTAACGTTGGCTAGCGTTGTAAATAGAGATATGAATATACTTAATTTGACTAACGAAATGGCCTTTGATAGTGCCGCATAGAGAAGAAGGATTCATATAACCGACTCCATTTGATAGGACCTAAGGCTTAATTTGGTTTGGTTTGGTTTGGTTTGATGAGGGTGTCCGGGACTTTGTCCCAACTAGTCTCCCGGGTGCATCCAATCCTTCATCCCACACATACCAGATAGTTACCAAGAACAGGCCTTTGGGGTGACCTCAAGGGTGTCACACTTCATGGGATTCAAACTCGTAACCTATATTTCTTGAAGCACTTATCATCTAATTTGCCACTCTACAAATCCTTGGTGCTTCTTGAGCCACGTGTTCATTTTCTTTTTCTTTTTCTTTTTCCTTTTTTTTTTACTTTTTTTTTCCCCCTAAAGTACATTACATTTCTGCTAAGAAAACGAATCAAATCTTCTTATACCTTGCCCCCTAAAGATGAAAACAATATTCGCCAACTTGCTCCACCCGTCCACCTTCTCTTCCTGCTTATAAGGAAGAGCAAGCATGGCAATATCTAACTACCCATACCATTCCTTCCACTGTGACAGCTCTTTGCTTTCAAAGCTTCTTCCCTTTTGTTCATTTCTTTACCTCTCAGATATACCAAACCGATACTCCGATTTCCAAACTTTCACTCACAAATAGAAATGGCATCAAACTCTTTCAGTTCTTCACGTAGTTCTTCTGGTTCCTCCTGGACACCAGAGCAGAACAAGCAATTCGAACGGGCTTTGGCCTACTTCGATAAGGACACCCCAGACCGCTGGCAAAATATAGCCAGGGCTGTGGGGGGGAAATCAGCAGAGGAAGTGAAGAGGCTTTATGAGATCCTTGAGAAGGACATCATGCAAATTGAAACTGACCAAGTCCCATTGCCCAATTACAGGTCTACCAGGAGCAATGGTAGAGGCCCCGGTAATGAACCAAGGCAGAGTGGTGGTAATTATCTCTAAGCATTATCTGTGCATTGCAGCTTGTGTTAATCTTTGTTTGCCATCATTTTATTTAGTTATATTCATACATGGGAATCTTCCTCATACTAAGATTCAGGGGATTGCCCACCATGATGCAATCATCCAGCATGATAAGAAATCTAAGCATCTTCAGTTGATTATGCTCCACTGGCTTTATCAGGCAATAGGCAGGAACAGTCTGGCAAGGTTGAGCATTTCCATGGATTATACATGATGAATTCATGGAAACTAAATTTGGGAAACACATTGATATGTGTCCTAAACAAATCAGAACACAAACAGAACTTTATGACCACTCAAAGCTATGAGAAACATATGTGTGAAGCATAGAAGATTATCAATCCCAACTCCCATTATAATGCATACAATGTAAAGAATTTTCCCCTTTTCTAATCCCAGAAGTAAAACTCTCAAAGTTTTGTACCATGTGTCAGTTTAGGGTTACTGCCATTTCCATTTGTGGTAGTTAACGCAAAAACCAATCACTGAATCCTTCCTAAAGAGAGAAATACTACATGAACTTCAGTGATATTTTGCAAAATCCTATCCCTCTATTTAACATTCGAAAAGAAAACATCATGAAATCTAATCCTATTTGTTTAAGATCATGTGCATGGTCGGTGTTTCTTGTCTTGATAAGGATCACCTATTGAAGAATCAAATCTACATTCACGATTGTTGTAGATTCACTATGATCAAGAAACAATTACAACTCTCTTATACAATACAAGAGGCGCCCCTCATTTATATAAGCATAAAAGCAAGGACAAGGCATAAGCAACAGGAAAATTACTAAAGTCCCCATTGAATCGAGAACCCAATGACCAGTACTTATTAAGGTGCACAATACCCAACAAAAATGTTTCACTACTTTCTCATGCCACGTAAGCACAACCTTTATGGATGATTACACTTCCTTGAAAAGGAGGCTGGAAGTTCGATTCCTCACGAGGGCCATTGGTTTCTTATGTGAGTTGAGATCCTCTCTCTCTAAACCTCCACCCCCGGGCCTCACTTTTGGCCGGCCGACCGCCGCCTTTGGCTATGGCGGTCGGCCCAGCTCTCTTTCGTGTTTGTGTGCTGGTTTCTGTTTTCAATAAACTTGATTCCCACAATTTCTTCCCACTTTGGTGTCCTTTTTCTGTGTCTTCAGGGGGGCTTCGGCTTGTTTTTTTTTGTTGTCTGTTTCTGTGTCCACCTTGGGGTTTAAGGGACAAAACAGAGTAGAAGGAGGTCGGGTTTGGACCGGTATAGAGGTTGGCCAGATCTGGATGGATCTTCATTCGGGCGCTCTTTTGTGAGTGGGAGTTTGAGGGATGAACTTGGTTTCGGATCTATGGAGTTGCTTCGGTGCTTTGTTTGGAGGGAACAAGGGTGTTGTAGTTGATCTAGATCTGTCTAAGATTTCATTCGAGCGCTCCTTTTCGAGTGGGAGTTTGAGGGGTGAGCTTCATCCAGATGTATGGTTTTGTCTCGGCGGTTGTTCGATGTTTTGGGTTGTCAACACCGAGGCTATTGCATTGGGCGTGTTTGGAGTTTGGAGCCGGAAAGCTGTGCCCGATCATGGAAGTGGAGATGGCAATGGGTCTTGTTGTCATGAGTGTTGATCGGCCTTGGGTGTATTCGAAGTGCTCGGAGTTTTGAATCAGTATAGAAGTTCAAACCGTGGAAGTGGGTTTTGGCTGTGTTCAGATGGGTGGCTATGAAGTTTTCCGGCCAGAGAAACTCCTCGGTAGGAGCAGAGAAGTGTGCAGCAGGTAGGTAATCAAGCTGGAGCAGAGAAGTGTGCAGCAGGTAGATATATCCCAACAATTCTCCCCCTATCGACTTAGGTGGAGACATCAACCATACCCGCCAAAGTTCGACACTTTAAATGTTTGTCCCTCGACAAAGTCTTTGTCAACATATCCGAAATATTATCATATGTGTGAACCTTTTCGAGTCGCAACAATTTCGAATCTAACACATCACGAATCCAGTGGTGTCTCACATCAATGTGTTTTGATCTCGAATGAAAAGTATAATTTTTACTCAAGTGAATAGCACTTTGACTATTACAATAAAGCACATACTTTTCTTGCTTCAAACCCAACTCTTGCAAAAATTTCTTCAACCATAGCTCTTCTTTGCAAGCTTTCGTAATGGCAATAAATTCACCTTCAGTAGTTGAGAGAGCAACACATTTTTGTAATTTAGATTGTCACGCCATAGCTCCCCCTGCAAAAGTCATCAAATACCCTGAAGTAGATTTCCTAGAATCAACATCACCGGCCATGTCAGAATCTGTAAACCCATCAAACATCGACTTACCATCCCCAAAACACAAATATACCTTCGAAGTCCCTCGAAGATATCTTAGAATCCGTTTTACCGCTGCCCAATGTTCTTTACCCAGATTAGAGAGAAATCGACTCACCACACCAACGGCGTGAGCAATATCCGGCCTTGTACAAACCATGACGTACATCAAAGAACTAACTGCTGAAGCATAAGGAATTTTCAACATCTCTTCCTTGTCTTTCTCACTTGTAGAATATTGATTCGAACTAAGCTTGAAGCGACCCGCAAGTGGACAACCAACCAGTTTTGCTTTATTCATGTTGAACCTCTCAAGAACTTTCTCAATGTAGCTTTCTTGAGATAACCAAATCAGCCCCTCTTTGCGATCATGAACAATTTTCATACCAAGTATTTGCTTTGCCGATCCCAAATCTTTCATAGCAAAAGGTTTACTCAACTCTAACTTCAACTTGTTTATCATGGTAGAATCTTGACCCACAATTAACATGTCATCAACATAAAGCAAAAGAATAATAAATTTACCATCCGAAATTTTTTTCACAAACACACAATGATCCGAAGTGGTTTTAGAAAAATCATTATTCATCATGAAAGAGTCAAATTTTTTGTACCATTGCCGCGGGGCTTACTTGAGGCCATACAAACTTTTTTTCAATTTGCAAATAAATTTCTCTTTCCCCTTTTTCGACAAAACCTTCCGGTTACTCCATATAAATTTCTTCTTCAAGATCACCATGAAGAAATGCGGTCTTCACATCAAGTTGCTCAACTTCAAGGTTCATACTTGCAGTCATGCCAAGTACAACCCGAATAGAAGACATTTTCACAATCGGCGAGAAAATCTCATCAAAGTCAATGCCTTTCTTTTGCCCAAAGCCTTTTACAACAAGACGTGCTTTGTACCTCAGATTCTTGCTATCATTCTTCAATTTGAAGACCCACTTATTTTTCAAAATTTTCCTCCCCTTAAGCAACTTCACTAAATCATAAGTGTGATTTTCAAGTAAGGAATTCATCTCCTCTTCCATGGCCTTTTTTCAATCACCTTTCCTTGCATGCTCAATTGCTTCTTGGTAGCTCTCGGGCTCCCCTTGATCGGAAATCAACACAAATTCATTGGGATGATACTTTCTTGAAGGTTGCCGGTCCCTTGTAGATTTCCTCAACTCAAGTTGTGGTGGCGGTTCTTGAGTTGGATGCTCTTCCTCAATTTTTGACTCAACTTCATTAGGATTAGCATCATCCTCTACATCTTCAATAGGTGGCTGCATATCTCCCCCATTTTCATCATCAACTGAAGATGAAGGAGATGGATCCATGTCAATGAGAGCACTAGTTTTTGGCTCCGGTTGATCACCTTTGCCAAAGTCTTTAATTGTTTGGTCTTCAAGAAACACAACATCACGGCTTCGAATGACTTTCTTGTCGACCAGATCCCACAATCTATACCCGAATTCATCACGTCCATAGCCAAGAAAAATACATTGTCTTGACTTACTATCAAGCTTGGACCTCCCATCCTTTGGAATTTGAACAAAAGCTTGGCAACCAAACACTCTCAATTGTTCATAAGATACATCTTTATCGATCCAAACTCTTTCTGGAACATCACCATTCAAAGGATAGGAATGAGACAAATTAATCACATCAACCGCTGTCTTCATTGCCTCACCCCAAAAGGATCTTGGCAATTTAGCTTGTGAAAGCAAACACCTTGTTCTTTCCACAATTGTGCGGTTCATCCTCTCGGCAACGCCATTTTGTTGAGGAGTCTTCTTAACTGTCTTTTGGTGCCAAATACCTTAGCTGCGACAATACTCATCAAATGGCCTAATGTATTCACCACCATTGTCAGATCGGATGCATTTCAATTTCTACCCTATTTCTCTTTCAACCATGGCCTGAAAATGCTTAAATACTTCTAGAACTTGATCTTTAGTTTTTAGTAAAAAAGCCCAAACTTTCCTTGAATAATCATCAATGAAAGTAACGAAATAAAGTGCACTACTATGTGTTCTAACTTTTAAAGGACCACAAACATCCGAATGAATCAACTCCAAAACATTTTCCTTTTTAGAAGTAACATTTTTCTAAAAAGAAACTATGTTGTTTACCCACCAAACAATGAACACAAGTTTTAAGATGTGTACCTTTCAAACCGGGTAGAAGCTCTTTCTTGAACAAAACTTGCAGCCCCTTTTCACTCATGTGGCCAAGCCGCTTGTGCCACAATTCGGTAGAAGTATCATCTTCAAGTGCATTGACAATACCTTTACAAATTTTTTCTTGCATCGAATAAAGTGTATGAGTCTTCTTACACTTAGCCACCACCAAGGAACCCTTTGTGAGCTTCCATTTTCCATTACCAAATTTGTTATTGTAGCCTTCATCATCTAGCTTTCCGGTAGAGATCAAATTGAGGCGAATGTCAGGAACATGCCTCACATCTTTAAGCAACAACTTGCAGCCCAAATTTATTTCCAAGCAAACATCACCCATGTCGATAATCTTGGACAAACCTTCATTACCCATTCGAACAGAACCATAATCTCCTTTGGTGTAGGTAATGACGAAATCAACTCGAGAAGTCACATGAAAAGAAGCACCGGAATCAATCACCCAATTGCTCTCTTGGCCCACAACATTGATACAATCATCTTCACAGATGACCATGAGATCATTGGTAGTAACTGCTGTTGTGTCTTCTTATTGCTTATCCACACTTTTGTTACGCCTTTTCTCCTTGTTCTTGAGCTTTCGACATTCTCGCTTCATGTGCCATTTCTTATGGCAATAATAGCACTCAATGTCTTTCTTTGAAAAAAAAACCATCTTTTGATTTTTCACGGCTTTGATCACGACCATGAGGAGTCTTACTCCTCCCCCTTGTTTTGCTTCGGCCTCTCACAACAAATGCTTCTGAATGAGAGGAACCCGCTGATTTTCTTCTAGTTTCTTCATTCAACAGGCTACTAGTGACTTGGCCCATTGTGACAACTCCATCGGGTGCTGAATTACTAACTGTCACAATCAAAGTTTTCCAACTTTCGGGTAAAGAACTAAGTAGCATCAAAGCCTGTAACTCATCATCAAAAATAATTTTCATAGAAGCAAGTTGGTTAACAATACTCTTTATTTCATTCAAATGTTCTGGAATGGGGCTGCCATCTTTATATTTTAAATTAACCAATTACGAAACAGAAAGGCTTTATTTGTGGCTGATTTTCTATCATAAAGACACTCTAATTTTTTTCATATATCACGTGCCAAAGTTTCAGTAGCAACATGATGAAACACACTGTCATCAATCTATTGACGGATAACACCAACGACTTTTCGATTAAGCCTATTCCATTCATCATCTTTCATACCCTCGGGTTTGCCACTATCACCCTCAATGGGTCCATACAAATCTTTACAAAATAATAGGTCCTCCATTTTAGTTTTCCAAGTTACCCAATTGCTTCCATTGAAGCTAAACATACGACCCACATTCCCCTCCATTGATTTACACAAATAAATAAATCCAAATTAACCGTAAGCTCTGATACCAGTTGTTAGGGAAAATATATAATTCTCCACAAGTAAATCAATTAATGGGAATAAAAACTAATGTGGAAAAATTAAATCAAAAGCAACACAAGAATTTTTACGTGGTTCCCTCAATGTAAGGTACGTCCACGGGATCGAAATCCGATTCCACTATCAACCAAAAAGTTTTCAAACGATTACAAATGGAACACGAATGGTCTCACAAACCACCCTTAGGTGAATTTCAAATAATCACAAATAAACAAGAGGAAAGACCTCACCAAATAGAAGAACCAAAATCTTCAGAACCAGAGATGAAGAAGACCCAAAATAACAAACCAACACTAACCGAAGATGCCCCCAAACCAAGCTTCAAAAACCGAAATTAAACCAATCTGCTTCACAAATCAAAGCATCAATTCTTAATTGACCAAGTCAACTCGAGAATAACAAACAACACCAATTGAAGCACTGTTGCCGAAAAACTTTGCTACTGCCATTTTTTCTTTTTTTGGACATCATTTTCTTTTATTTATTTTTTTATTTTTTATTTTTTATTTTTTATTTTTTTTCTCCCACGGGGCAAAAACATAAACAATATATATATATATATATTGTTGATTAATGAGTTTTTCAATCAAAACCCTAGTTGTATCCAAATTGAATTAGATTTCCACAAAATTAGATATAATATATAAAAATATATTATAACTAATACCAAACCAAATCAAACTCTTTTAATAAACCAATTGGGTCCTACACTCCAATAAGGAGGTATACCCAACAATTCTCTCCCTACCGACTTAGGTGGAGACATCAACCATACCCGCCAAAATTCGACACTTCAAATGTTTGTCTCTCGACAAAGTCTTTGTCAACATATCTGAAATATTATCATCTATGTGAACCTTTTCGAGTTGTAACAATTTCGAATC